TCGACAATTAGTCGGCCATTCGATTTCCACGGAAACGAGCGTTTTCCTTCCAAATATCGAATCGATCGCCGACCCACAAAGAGAGAGAGAGAGCCGATATTTTCGCGGGGAACAATGGGAACGACTTCTGTGACCGCAAACGGAACCTTTCGCGTGCAGACATTTCGTTCTTTTACGAGTTCGACTTCCACCACCACCGTGAAACTTCCATCGTATCCCCGACGACCGATTTTCTCCGCATAATACCCCGGGACCGCGGGCAACCGCTATGGTGACAGCCAGCAACCTCCCTGTCGGAAGTCCGTTTATTGTCGGAGATGGAATAAGGTTTTAGCGAGCGATTTAAAAATAGCTTCAACGTCGATGCCGGGAATTTTTTAATAAATCTGATAGATACGGCGGTTTAAGAAAGTGTAAATGTAGATAGATGCGAATACATTTATTGTAGCTTCGTTATAGGTATTGTCTAGCAATTTCTTCCAATTCTTTGATTACTATATACCGAAATCGTCCTCCAATCTAGCATCTTACTACCAGCAAATTGCTATAATCTTGCTAATAAATCCATTAGCAGATCCCCTCAGTTTTGTGTAAACACACGTATACGCAATATATCTCTCAATATAACGCAAATAAATTCGTTTGATTCGGGAAACATATCGTGAATATTAATTCACGAGCTAACTTTAACATTTTTCCGCCATGATTGTGTTTCTTCGCGAGAAAGAAAAGAAAAAGAAAAAGAAAGGGAAACAACTAATCAATCGATCGATTGACGTAGTATGATATTAACGCAAAGATCTAATTCCGAGATCGATTCGAGATAATTTTATAGGCCTGTTGTAATCGTCACGATAAAAGCGAAATTTTGTGTACAAACGATCCATTTAGACGTGTAACGCGATACATCGATCTGATTTTCACCATTGAAAATGGTGAATTACCTTAAAAGATATCATTGGTACCTTTCTAAATCTAATTCCTCCGATTCTAAGTACGTTTTCTCAATTGTAACTTTTTTTTTATTAACCTCGCTCCGCTGTTGTCGCCGATAGAATTATCTCTAAGCGAGGGAGAAAGTTTCTCGTGAGAGAAAAGAAAAAAAAATAAGGAAACATTACAGAGAACGAAGCATGAAATTGTATCTATCCACGTCCAAAGGTATTCCGCGTAATTACATCGGCTATCATATCGTTGCTCTTCCGAATTAACAAGAAACTGTACGAACGTTATCGATACAGGAGGAGAAGATGGAAGAGATAAGGGAATCGGAACGGGAAAGATCGAATCAAATGTTAGCCGCACTCTCCAATTACCGACGAATCATGCTCGGAATAAAACTGAATCGAGAAAAATTCCTGACCTAATCAAACGATTTAGTGCGTGTATTCGCGCTTGAATCGGACGAGATCAAATCGAGACGATGAATTTCTTCCTAAATTAATTCTTGACCAATTAGAAATTGGTTATTATAGGGATATTTTAGGAACAACTCTAAGTTTTTGTGTAATAATTACTTATCGTTCGAATATTCGAATGTAAATTAAAATACGAATATTCGGATCTCGATTGAATGAATATTTATATAAATATTTGGATATATATTATGAATATAAACGAAGAAAAATATGAAGAGATCACTCGAGACGGAATTCGATATCGGGTCGGTGTTTGGAATTCTCTTCCTCGCCTATTCTTTATTATTTTGCTTTATATCTAACATCCTGAACTAAGATTCGCAAAATATTCTTTGTCCGATAATCTAATACATCTAAAATCCACTTCTGAAAAAAAAATAAGAGATCCAATTCAAAATTCTAATCTAAACCTAACCTAAAGACTCTAAGATTTGTATCCAATTTATATCCTCTTATTTTTCATTTTTATTTTTTCTTTTCTATATCGCTTACGATTCAACCTAACATTTCCGGCATTCGTTTTCCAAATCACAAATTTCATAAATCCACGTAAACTCGTTTTCTACGAGCATCCAATTCCACTTTTGAGAAAATAAAAAATATGAGAAAAACTTACTTGAGATTAGAACCCAAATCTCCTGGTCAGCAGAATTCAGAGCTTTAAACTCACGCCCAAGATGTTCTCTCGCTTATTTCTCCTTCCTTTCGTTTCCTTTCCATATCGCTTGCGGTTTTTCACGATATCGCATTTTATTTCTCGAAAAGTCACGGCGACAAACACTAGCCTCCACCGGTAATCGTATTATCGACCAGGTTGGACCGATGCACCAGACCAATCAGGTGCATGGACGACATCATGGGGGCTAACCTAAAACTCGTTACACACATCCATCGAGCGTGCAACCCGGTCGTCAATTGATTTCGAGGTTCGTTCGATGTGTAAACACTTGTTTCAGTTTCATTTCACGTACGTTTCGTACGGCGAGCTTCGCGAGAATATCAAGTCGTTTCGATGATCCACTCGATGCCACGCGCGCGATATTCCCGATCGATCCGGTATGGGGATCAACACTTGGGCGAAATAAACTGGCGCGAAATCAAACGGCCCGTGTAATCGTTATGTTTCTTTGAGCGCGTACACCCTTATTCCCGATCCTTGTTATTTGGTTATCGATCTCCGAGATTGGTTTAAAACGATTCATAAATATGTATTAAGCTGTTCGGAAAAAAGTACTTTTCGCATTTCTGCTGTAAATCGACAGTTCTTTACCTGTGATCTGTGAAATTGAATTTAAAATTTCCCGCTTTTTATTATAATTTTATCACAAACGTAGTTTAATTTCAAATTGATAATGCTTCTTTTTTTCCATTCTTTCTTAAACTTTTCTCCATCTATTATACGTAATAGACCAAGTCTATGTCATGATTTCTTGCTAGCAAAATCGAGTTTCTCCTCCGATTTGATTTAGAAAAAATATTTTCTTAATATGATAAAATAACGCAACGTTTCGAACCACTCAGTTTTTGACTAAAATATTTTTCAACATCATATTCATGAGAGATAGATCAATGCGAAAACCCACAACAACAACGTATCGTGTCACCGATCTATCAATAGGATTTTTCAAACCAGACATTTGCAGCCGTGTTCGCTCTCTCTCTCTTATTTTTTTCCTTTTTTTTATAAAACAGCCTTCTCGATCAGTAACACTCACGCGATGCCATTTAAACGGATGTCAGGATATAGTGTGTGTATACTCCATGCCCTTATTTTGCCACACTTCCTTTTTTCTTTCCTTACGTTGTAAAATCAAGCAAAGTTTATGCTCAGTGGAGCGCGATCCCGCGGTATTTACGAGAAAAATCGTTGGAAAAATAAAGGATGGGAGGGGAGAAGGTACGAATAAAAAATTCGCGATGCTTTTAACGCACTTATCCTCCACAGTACCTTCGAATCCCTTGTTCATAGATAAATGTTACATGATTTCGCCGTAAAAAGTGTATTCGAACATCTTCATAAAGTCGTCTCTCGTTTGAAGAAATCTTGTGCTCCAAATTGAAATACAAGAATTAGAGACACAGCTCGAGGGTTAAGGTTAGTTAAGTCTTTTTTAATTAATTCGTTGACGTCCACTGATATTTCGTTAGCCAGTTGGAAAGAAAGAAGCAACTATTCCAAAGCGGATATTTCATAAGGAGAGTCATTAAACTTTTTCCAAAATTATGAAAGACGGAGAACAGCTTTCTTTTCATTAATACGCGTTGCTCATGTATTTATCTTGTACCACTCATCAAAAATTAATATCTATCTAAAGAGAATCTTCTATATTCTCGTTGACGTGTTAAACGTGTTAAACGTGTTAAACGTATTAAATGATTCGTTCGTCGCTCTGAAGATATTGGTACTTCAAAATCGTACTCGTTCCAATACCTTAGGACTTCCATAGATCAGAAGATACTTGGCGAAAACGCGAAGGATCGGGAACACGGTGCACGTGGTAAACCTCGAACATTATGAATCTTCGTTTCAAAGCAAAATTGCTACGTTATTTTCCACGTTTCCTTTTGTTATATTCTAACGAAAGTCTCGTTTAACACGCGCGATGTACACGAACGCGAACACATCCTCTATAGCGATAAGAGGATCACGTGCACGTGATGAACATCGGGACACGCGCCGCCTAAAATCGATCCCCAAATAATACGAGAGCCAGCCACTGGGGACGTGTGCGATCGTGAGACTTCGGTGACCAACCAACGAACGTTTTGGAAATATGAGGAGGAGGAGGGGGAGGGTCGTTGCATGCAACGATGTTTAGAAATTAATCTGCAGGGCTAAGGCAGAAATCTAGCTGGCTACACGTATCAATTAGTGTACCGTGTTGGTGAGGTCTGGTGGCTGTGTGTTGCTGTTCGTGTCTCGCGTGCTTGCAGGAGGTGTGTGTTCTTGTTCTTGTTTCCCCGCCGACACCGTGATGCTTGTATCGTGGCACTGCTTAGACGTTACCTCATTCATGTAGGACACTTCCGATAAAGGGACGTAGTAGTAGCCCAAGAAACGATCCCACAGGAAACCCTTGCACCAGACCTCCACCACAAGGCCCGTGTTCATGTCGTTCGTCTCGCTGTAAACGAAATAAAATAATAACAATTAACGTAAGATGACGATGAACGCAACGATCGAGGGAATTAGCGTTCGATTCGTGTATAAGAAGAAGGATCAAAGATTAGAGAAAGAGAGAGATATACAGAGGATGGAAGGAGAGGAAGGAGAGGAATCGAATTTTCACGTATTCCGAGACTATGAGATTCAACTTTAAACGTTGGACTTGGTTGGGGAAACATTCGTCGACTGACTGGAAAACTTAATTAGCCCGAAAGACGGTGGAACCTGGAGGATCGAAAGATTCGAATTCGAATCACGAATCCGGCGACTCGATCCCTTCCTTTTAAAACCAAAGCGCAAACTCGTCCCTTTACTCCTGCCATCGTTCTATATTCGATCTCGTACGCGTTGCCGCGTAATCATTAAATAATCAGGAAATCGTCGAACGACAAATATAGACTCGAATCATTCCAATAATTCGCAATTTGCTTAATTAAAATTCCGATCGACGAGCACAAACGAGGTAAATTCGTCCGTATCGAAAAGGGGACGAATGCAATCGGCCGATTCTTTTCCACTATTACATTTTTCCGCGTCGATCGAAGAAGAAATAGAGGCGTCGTAAGAGCAGCGTTATTGGCGCTATCGAATTCTAAATCGAGATACAGATCGATCTCGGTGTGGAGCCCTCTTCCTCGGCGATTCTTATTTTCGGCACACGGAGTGGGGATACAGGTTTCCGTCGCACAGGTTAAATAAAATACGATTTTAAATGGGCCGCGCACGCGGAGATGGGGAGGCGGTGGTCGAATGAAAAAAGTGGGTTAAAGGTTCGCAACTTGGCAACTTGAGGATTTAACGGCGCCAGTAAGGATATTTCAGAAATTCTGAGATCCAAAATTCTCCTATTTTCTATCCTCACGAGTCCTCCCGCGATTGTCCTCCTTATATATTTTAGACGGTCGATCAATAGAGCTGGTCCGTGTACCCTCCTCTCTCTCGACGTCCACTCGACTCGATCTTATTTCAACGAAACGAAAGATCCTTTTTAGGAACGTAAATCCGGGTCTACGCGTCCCCGTGTTTTTTTTTTTCGACGCGGGATGAGAATTGTGGGAGGGAGAGGTAGGAGAAGAAAAATTGGTTAGCTGTTTGCTAACCCCGGTTCGTCGAATTGTACGCGTGTCGAACTACCGGAAATGCGGATCACGTTCATAACGTTGCATAACTTGGCACAACTTGATAGACCTTCGTTCGTCTTTGGAAAGTCTATCCTACGTATGTGAATCGACGAAATTTTTTTTTTTTTACGAACCACCCTCGTATTGAATTCGAAAGACGATGGTACGTAGTATTCATGATTTTTGCTCGTTTATTAAAAATTTTTTCGTATCAAGAACTTTGAGATCTCCTCCTGATCAATGAATACTTTTTTACACAATTGTTTTATACAAAATAGATAGTATATTTATATAGTATAGTATATTAATAGATAGTATATTTATTACTGGATCGCTATTATAGATATTATTAAATGAAAATTTACGTTTTCATAATTATGATTAAATAAATGGAATCTAATAAAAAAATTTGATCAATCTTCCAAATTTTGTATTCATTTATAATCTCTCATAAACGTATTTCGTTCCATCCTTCCTAATTCCTCCTTCTCTCAAATTGATCTCTTTTTTAACCCGAATTTTTCAATGAAACGTTCCAAAAATACAACGAGATGAATTCACAGCGGCCCTGGCGAACGAAATCGCGCCGCACCATCCACAAATACAGATTTAACAAACACGTATAATTGTTTCGAGGCCCGTTGTTTGTCGTTCCATCGTTTATTATCGAAATAAATAAACACTTTTTTCAATGAATTTACACGAATATACAGTTTGTATATCGATATCGAGAATAAAATCACGAAGGAGCGTGATTTCATTGAAGAATGTAAAAGTTGCCGGTGAATAAAGCGGATGCGAGAAAGAGAAATGACAATGGACAGGAGGGGGAGGGTGAGGAAAGAAAAAGGGGATGGTATAAAAACCGGGCTAATAATAAAGAGCAGCCGCAAATACTTGGACGTTACAATCACCATCGTCCCTCGTTTTTATAAATAAACAGATCACATTCCACACCTTTTCCTGCTCTCTGTCGGTGTCCAGAGTGTATCCTGCTCCCTGATAATACCGGAATGATAAAGATGCACGGTGAAAAAAAAAAAAAAAAAAAAAAAAACCCCTGAAAAAATTTTTTCAGGGGTTTTTTTTTTTTTTTCCCCGGTGATTTTTATTATTTCCGGTTATAGAAGGGGGGAGGAGCCGGGAATAAAAAAGTAGGGGGGGAAAAAAAAAAAAAAAAAAAGAAAAAACCCATCGAAAAAATTATTCTAAAGCGTAATTATATAGCGCGTACTCGACAAAAAGCTAGAGATCGATACTCGAACGAGAAAATATCATGGGGTTGAGGGAAAAGGAAGGAGACGAAGGAGAAGAAGACGGAGGGAAACGGAAACGATTAAAACCGGAAACACGACTCGTTAGATGGGATAATCGCGAGTGTCTGGCTGCACGTTTGTTTCTACAAGGTGTCTCGTAATTTGAATTTTATTTTATCGCCGTATTTGTCATATTTATCGCGTTTTAAAGACAAGGAAAGCAGAAGAACAGAAGAGTGGTCGCTTTGGTTTGTTATCACGATAATTCATATTGATGAAAAAATTAATATTTGAAAAAAGAAATAGCTTCTCGTATAACGTGAAATGCCAACTCTCAAAATATATAGTGATAAAGAACACAGTTTAGAATGAAGTTGGCTGGATAAATATTCAACTAGAGACACTCTACTAACAATCCAATAATATAGTTCATTTTTCTATTGATTGGACTTGCCTCATTGGACATGTATATATAATAATAAAATATCTTCTGAAATATCAATTTTTTACTACTAGCTTCGTAGTTTTTCTTAAAGAAAATTGCATCGATAAAAAAATTACATTTAAAGTCCAGCAAATATCCATTTGTAACTTATATTACTAACACAAAATTTAAAACACAATTTTATCGATAAAATATTTCTCGACAAATTTCAAAATGAAAGAACATACATATATACATCGAATTAAATTAAAATTACAAAAGATACTTACAAAAGAAAGTCTTGCTCCCAGCATGGATTGGCCCCTTTCACCGTGACTGTCGTCGACTTCACATTTTGCAGCTTCAGTGTTACGTACGAGTTGAATTGTTCCGCTGAAATCGTTGCAAATCGGTCTTGAATCGTGTCCACCACCAACGTAAAACCGTTGTCACCTCCACGAGCGAGGAGGGGAGCGGGAGGAGGGAGGTTATGCGACTCCCGATTGATCGTGCAAAGAGGACGAAGCGCGTAAACCGCCCCTCGTAAAAGAAATCTGTCTCTCGCGGAAATGGAAACGTTGACGTTGATAAATAGGCCGGAGGCCGCGGGGGAGAGGGGAGAAGAGGTGTGTGGGCATCAAGGTATCGGCCGTGCATGGAGCAAAAATTATTTACGATCGGATGAACCGGGATTTATACCGCGTTACCCAATAAATTAAACGTTTGACCAAGTAACGTTACGATGCAGCGGTTCTCCGTTGAGTCGCATGGGATGAAGCGCGAGATAAAGGATTAATAAATTTTAACTTTAGATAATTTTAAATAATAAATACGCGTGAGATGTGTCAACGAACACGAATAATTCAAGGGGATTTTGAAGAGGGTTTTTGGTAAAAATACTGTTCCTATTTTTTACCGTATATATGATATAAATAAAAAATTATGATTTAAATGGAAATTATTAAGAAAGTAATAGTAAGGAAAAGAGATTAGCGTTAGAGCTATCTCTATAGAGGGCCTGTTCGTATAAATTATTGTAATTAAAGTGATAAAAAGAGAAGGTGTAATTATATTCCTATCTCTAATAAATTACAATATTAATTTTATATGAAATCATTTTGGTTGTTCTAGAGTTAAAATGACGAGTCGAATGTCCACGATTTCGATCATAGAATATTAAATAAATGAAGTGAGCAGTAATAATTTCTTCTTTTGTTGAACGAAATTATTCGAGTCTTCGGTTCTTATTCGTTGAATTCATATCTTTGTTTCATCAACATCAAAAGATATAATTTTTTTATTTTAGAAAAAGATCACGAAATTACATTTCTACTATATATCCCCAGAGCGAAACAGAATGAAATCGTCGAACACCTTTAATTTAAAAATCTTTTAATTACCGTAACGTGTCTGCCACGCGTTTGTATTAAATACGCGCGCACGACTCGAAAAATAACAAAATATTCCTATGTCGACGAGGACACTTTTATTCCTCGCCAATCGAAAAATCGTAGTTCGCTTTATAACGAATATCCTGAACGTCGTTACATTGGCACAATTAAAAAAGTTATTTATAGAAATTACTGACTTTCAAATATTTTCTATAGAATAATCAAAACGAAATAGAAAATTTAATAATTCTGGAAATTAAAACAAACACGAGACTTATAAGCAACTTAATTTTACAATAAATAAAGCGAGATAAAGAATGTAAAAAATAACAAAAATAAATGCCATCTCGTTCTCGCTTCATCTAAATGGAAAATTAAATTGTTCGTAATTTAATAAATAAACTTCGTATCATCTTTATATTCATTTTTCGTGCTGAAAAAATCCATGAAATATCGTTCGAGAATTTATTAAGTATCCTGTAATTAAAAGAAACGAAGAATTATTACTAAACGTGTTGATATTATTCAATGATCCCTCGAAAATTTAATCTATTTAACAAACCGCTGAAAAGTATCTATAAGATATCGTTGAATCGATATGGAAGGAGACACGAATAGTATATAAAATTGTAATATTATTTCGATTCGAATCCGATCGTTTCTCAATTTACCATGGATACCAGAGAGTCCCATTCCTGGAAAACGGGGCAGACGAACCGTAAAGGTCTATAAGCTTCATCCCTGTTGTCTGTCTATGAATATATACATAGGCTGCAAACTCTCGATAAAAAGCACGCGTCTCGATTTTACGATGTGCGCTTCATACGCGGCTTATGTGAGAATAGAATTTTTAGCCACGTGCCAATGAAGTTACTTTTCACAAACGATGATACGTAACGATTTCTAGATACTCAAATCATTAGAAATTAATATAAAAAATTATATAACTGGATCAGAAATGATAATTTATGATTTAAATAAATTTGAAAATAAAAACATAGAAATTAAATGTAAAATCATGTCAGATGATTTAACAATGGAAAAATAGAACAAATTTTAATTATACAGGATACATCGTCTAAACTTTAATTCATTTATCTAATAAAAATTGCATAATGACAAATAAGATGTAAAAATAATTTCTTTTAAATTTTTTGTAGATAAAAATAAAAATTATTAAAACATCTTAAAGTCATTGACGATTACTTGATTCTCATCATAAAATATCACAGTGCAGAGAGAATTTTCATTGTTGAGGAATATTTAATTAACGTAATTGCTATTCAATGTGTTATTAATGATAATTACAGTGGCTGTCGCTCAAAGTCGTACACATGAACACAAGCCTGGACCATTTCGCATGATTGAAACTCTTGTTACCGTCTTATTTCATCCGTTTCCAGTGGTATATTGTCACGACGAAGAATGACTCGTTCTGATTTGCGTGATATATGGCACGACATGGCGACGTTCAAAATAATTCCTCACGTTCATTCACACGTTGAAATGAATTTCTTAATTTAAGAAGCATAAAAAATGAACATTACTGAAATGAACAACCGTAAAATCGTTTTGAATTTGCTTGTTTTAATTTTTTCGATTATTTTTAATTATTATGAGAATCAATAATGATTATAATAATGGTAGAAATATAATAAAAAGATTGAAAATGAAAGAATTTTTACGTTTTTTAACCATTTCGAGAATAAAAAGTAAAACAATATGTTCCAAAATAACAATTAAAATTGTTATAATTTTTCAACGAGCTTATTTAGACATAAAATTCTATTAGAAATAAAATTATTTATCTTACTTTTTCTTCTCTCTAATTCACTATATCCCATTATACTATTATTATACTGTATTGAAAGAAGATCAAAATTCTCGATCGAAAATTTAAAAATTAATAAATAGAAATAGCGAAACTTTTAATTTCCAATAATTAACAAAAACTACTTGAATTAAAGAACGTAAAAACTAAAAATACATAAATTTTATATTAGGAATAGATGATCTAAGAGAACAATGAACTTGTAGGTGCTGAACAAGCGTTTTAAAATTCACAGCACGGAGATAAGTGTAAAAAAACAGATCTTTTTGAATTCTTAAAGTCTGATATCAAACAATTCAGATAAGGAAAACAGGATTCAAATAGCTCGAGACTCGTGCGACTGCATACAAAGATACTCGAATCTGCGAAAATCGAACACGGATAAATTTTTCCTCTTGATATATAATAACATAACTTAACCTTTACAAAACGTGTAAAATGAATTTAAAAAAAAAAAAAGAAAAACATGATACAACACATATACATAATACAATCGTATTTTTAGGAAATTCTAGAACTGATTTGGCTACAGAATCCATCTGATTTTATCAACTGTACATATATTACTTGGCTTCGAGATTACTTTAATTTAAAAAAAAAAAAAAAAAACACGTGGCTTCGTGAAGTGAAGAAAGAGAATAAGAAAAGAGAACCCACTTATCACTTACTGCAGATTGAATCCACTTATTCTAATTGGATCAAGAGTCCACTCAATATCAAAGAGAGGATAGTGCCAAAATCTATTTGTATCGAGGAACATTTTGGTTCTATATATCGTTCTAATTTATGGTTTGTTTGGTGTCAATAGCCTCCAACATTCAAGATTGAAGCTAGAGAGTGTTTGTCACCCAGATTAACAAGAATCATTAGCAAGTCAAAGACCTTTATGAAGAGCGTAAATTGATCTTGAATACAAATAGTAACTTCGAATAAAATGTGGATGCTTGAATAAACTAAATAGTTAAATAATGTAATTACGAATCTTAGAACGAGAGACTAAAAAAGAAAATGTTTAAATAAATACTTTCGAATCAAATTTTTACATCAAGTGTTTCTTATTGCCAATAATTTTAGATAAAGGAGGGACTGCATTTTGAGTCTTGGAATCAACTAAGAGCCTTTTCTGATTAAGAAAACGGCAAATATGTTTTATTGTTAATAACTCGAGATAAGATTGAATTAAATGAACTGTCAAATAGTAGATGTATTTGAATGTTGGAATCAAGTAGAGACTTTTCGCTAAGAAAATTTTGGAATTAAGTAAATACTGTTGGAATAAAGGAAGCTTGGCACGAAATACGTCTTACTTGTTCGTGCCAAGTTATTTCTAAGACATTCTGGCGGAATCTGAAAATAGGGATCTAGATATATATCTGAGAAATTTCAATGTGAAACTCGTGTTACGATATTGTTTGAACAATGGGTATCATAGAATATGAGAAAACAGAGTTCTTGTATCATGTGAAGTAGCCATTTTGCTTTTATAATGCATTACTTCTTTTGTTCTGCTTGTCACCTGGCACAAACTTTTTTATCGCGACAAACTTTTCAAATGTCGGCCCATTATGCATAGCTTGCCACTTTTTTAATATTACTCTTGGTCTATTTCGGTACAATGTGCAACTTTTGCTGCTAAATATACGTAGTTTTTTTGCTTTGCGCGAACCCACTCTCGCTCAATTTTTTTCAATTCAGTCACTAAACTTTGAGCTCCAATCTCGACAATACATTTCTCTCAATTCCGTTCCATTATTTCATCGTTTCTTAAATAATTCCAATAATTTCATTTTCTTTTAATCATTAGAGACAATTCCGTTTCCTCGTGATGGATTAAATTAATCAAAACATTATTCTCTACATTCTTGCGAGAATATACTAAATTTTGATTTTACATATATCAATCTACTTTTAAAAATCAAACAAACATCTCTACTCATGATATTTCTAAGAAAAAAGTGGATGAGTTTCTCTAATCGAGATTATTCGCGTAACATAATACCATTCTCTATTAAAGTGACGTGTATGGATATGTATACAACGATTCACAGTCGCCATTCACGTACACGTGGCGGCGTCGTTTCCGGGACGCGAAAAACACGGTTGATACGAATGCAAACTTACTGAAAGTCTCAAGGCTCTTTTCCATTAACAGGAGAGGGAGGGAGTGAAAAGAATGGCGCGAGGCGCGAGTATCGTAACGGGAAATTGCTCCGATTTGAAAAGTTTAAATACGTCGTGTTGCAAAAAAAAAAAGACTCGTTCTTCTCGAGCCTTTGTATCGCTTCGACGGAATCGCGAATTTCAAGTTGAGCGTTAAAAAAAGGAAAAAATAACGCGGACCGCGATATTGCGATTTTTTGAAAAAAGGAAAAACGGAACTATCACCACCAACACCGCGGATGATAAATTTCCACCGTGTTTCGCGCTCCAGCATTTCCAAATGGAATCGCGTGACAGCCCCCTCCCCTCTTTCTCCCCGCTTTTCACGATACACGTAATCATCATTAGCCGTTCTAATAAATAGTATTCGAAATAGTATTGACGCGGAAACGAGCCCTCTTCTTGCGGGCAAACGATCGAATGAGGAAGATCGAGAGGGAGAGGATGAGGAAGAGGAAAAAAAGGCATAACGATTTATGATCCGAGCTCTGGGAGCGAAGTTGCAATCGATGGTTACGAGGCATTTGAACTCGCTGCAAAGAATTGGAGCATGGGTTATTCGCGAAAACAAAGCGAGGCAAAGATCGGTAAAAAAAAAAAAAAAAAAAAAA